CCAGTTCCATGTTATGCCTAAGATGTTTGGTATTCAGACAGATAGTGAGGTTAAGCTGAACAGCCTAGGTTGTATGGTAATAACAATAAACTTCTATTCTGGAGGGTTAAGAACCTAAGTTTGCAGACCAAAATTAGAGGAAAAAAAAAAAGAGCCACAAGGAAAACCAACATTTTGGCCCTAGTCTTCCAAGGTCAATTAAGACTCAGGACATATGAGAACTTGTACTGTAATGTCATGTACTCTGTAGTGTCCCAAATTTTCTGATCAAGGAGATTATGGGGCCAAAGAGGAAAGTGATCAATGATGTAGAGTGATCGATGATGTGCTAAGGAGAGTCACATGGAGAGAAAACATTCTCTCAGGCTTTCACAGAGAGCACGTTGGCTGAGCAATGACTGTGACTCATCCACATGGCTGACACTGACAATGGTTCTACAATCTGAGGTACAGGATCTCAGGATAAATCCTGAGGGGATTTGACTGACCTTATCAGAGCCAAAAGCTACAACTCTTGTTGCATAGGTCCTGCTTTACCTTGGTCTTAACCATCCAGCAGAAAAGTATAAAAACCAAGTTTAAGAAGTATAGCCATGCTGTTATGTTGAGCTATAGGGGACTCAGGTCAACAATTTCTGACATTGCCAATGAAGTGGAAGACCCAATACTATTATGGACTACTGGACTCTTTTAGAATATTTTTCTGAGTTTACACACCTATAATATTCAAATAGCAGAACTCAACAAAAAAGGGGATACAGATGAATGTCCATTTTGTATCTGTGTATTCAAAATGGTTAGGATAGATATACAGTTACATTCTCTTAGTGAATAGAGGGAGTTGTTCTTATAGTGTTTGTAAATAGGATATCATGTCCACATCTTGCACAGCAATTAACCACTAGGAAGAATGTATGAAATTTATTAATTATTGAATCTGTCCTACCAATTTGGTTTGAAATTGTCTCATTGTTATTTGCTTCTCAATAAAATTATGGAAAAACATACTTGATGAAAAATACCAGTTCCATGTTATGCCTAAGATGTTTGGTATTCAGACAGATAGTGAGGTTAAGCTGAACAGCCTAGGTTGTATGGTAATAACAATAAACTTCT